CTTCTAGGGACCCTGATCCTCATACATCTGCCTTCCATTCTGCAGACAGAGAATTCAGAGGAGGGTAGCAGGTACAATTGAAATCCAAGTGATGTCGCTGACTTTCTACATCTTACTGTCTCTCTTCCTGGTAACTTAAGGACTGGATCTGCAGATGCCCAGACTAGATGGGATACCTCTGAAAAACTGGGAGTTTAGTTCCTACCTAGGGCACTCAAAAGTGAGGTAGCAACATCCAGGGTTCCCATGCCACATGTGTGATGTGCTGGAGCTGATGGGCATCAAGCTGTCCCTGGCCTTGGCCCTTGCATGTCCACAGGTGCCCCATACTCAGGCTGTCTAAATGAGGCTTTTGTTCCTGTTCATCATCTGGAGGCAGCAACTAGACTTCATTCTTCCTGCCTTCCCCAAATGTCACCAAATGGGACACAGGTCTCTTCCCTGTCCAAATAGGATACAAGTCTCATTTGCTTAAGACCATCCCAAGCTCTCCTTTGCCCCTGGAATTACACCTAAGAGGCAGCATGCTGTAGACATAGCTTTGCACTAACAAACTTCTGGCCTGCAGATTTGGGGGTTCAGATACACTTGAGTCAGAATCTTGGGTGATTCACTGAGTGATTTTTTTTAGACTCTAGAAGCTTCAGTTCCCTTGCATGTAAAATGGGACTTACTATAAAGAGTTATGAGCCAGGCATAGGGGTGCACACCTGTAACCCCAGCACATGGAAGGCTGAGACAGAAGCATCACCATGAGTATGAGGCCAGTCTATGATACACAGTGAGTTCAAAGCCAATCCGAGCTATAGAGTAAGACCCTGTCTCAAAAAAAAAAAAAAAAAAAAAAGGTTATTTTGAAGCCTCTATAACTAACCTAGGGCCTGAGACAGCACAAGAGGTTCTGAGGTCAGTGCACGGAATGAAGGCTGAGGATGTGGTGGCTGCAGGATTCAAGAGATGATGAGACCAGCTTTAGACATGCAGAATATGTGCATGGGCCCTATGTGTGTCCAAGAGAGGCATCCAGAGCAGCTGGCTGCGTGGGCCTGGAGTCAAGAGGGAGGCCTTGGCGGGAGAGCAAGGGAGCGTGGGTGTCACCAATATAATATGGGAGTAGGAAGATGAGCTCATTGTGGGGTGGGGGGAACAAGCAAGGCCTCCGCAGCCACAGGCTCACCCACAAGGAAGACAAGCTCGTGAAGAAGGCGGAAGACAGGCAGAGAGGTAGGAGGAAACTCCGCAAGGATGGCTTCATCGACATCAAAAGAGACACAGGGCTTGAGGAGGTCCAGAGAGGTCAGCAGGGCAGAGACTTCAAGCAGGCCATCTTAGCTGATGGCAGAGATGTATGGCTCTACAGTGTCTGAGGACTAGGAGGTCATTTACTGGTTACATCTGGAGAGGTCAGGAGGGGGAGCTGACCCCTGGCTGAAGTGGGGGAGGACTGAGCCGTGATGGAGACTGTAGACAACGTTAGAGAAATGTGGCTGAGAACAGGGGGAGAGAGCAGGAGAATGATGCCTGAGGAAAGGGATATGACTGAGATTACTGGGCTGGGATGAAGCTCAATGGTACAGCACTTGCCTAACATGCATGAGGCTCTGGATTGATCCCCAGCACTGCAAAAAAAAAAAAAAAAAAAAAAAAAAAAAAAAAAAAAAAAAGATTGAGGTTGAGGTTGCCAGTGGGAGAATATTGTGGGTGGGAGCAGTTAAGTGGTCCTTTGCTTTGTCTGTGGTACCAAATGCAGGGAACTGACACCCACAAAGACATTTTCAATGAAAGACTGCTCTGATGATGGGGCATGATGTGTCTGGAATGCAGGTGAAAGGACTTGCCACTGGCAGGAAGGGGGCCACTGTACCAGATGGGGGAATGGAGCAAGTTCCAGGTATGAGCTGAGTGCAAGCAGGGCTTCCTGGGGCTCTGCTGCCTCTGAGCTGGACCCCAGAGGAACAAGAGTTGGTAAGTGAATGCCTGGCTCCAGGAACTCCAGTATACTCAGAGGACAGAGTGTGAGTGCTCTTGGAGACTGCTACTTGGCATCCCCCAACTCTGGACTTCTCCCATCTTCAGCGCACATGGCCTTTCTTCTCTTCACAGCTGCACTCTCCCAAAAGACCAGCAGATGGGGCCAGTGAGCTGCTACACTGTACATCACGGGGGCAGCCAGGAGCCCACCTGCCCCCGATCCAGAGTCTGGGAAACAGTGAGGGTTTGGCTAACCAGTTTCCTGACCAAGGCAGGATGCAAGTGAGACAAAGGACAAAGGAAAACTGGATTGAGTACTTGGGGTGGGGTGGCTCTAGGGGCTCTGCTCCTTCTGGTTGCCTTTCATTCCTCTGCTCTGCTGGTCCCTGCTTTATCTGCTGAGGTCCCTGCCCACCCCGCTTTCCGCCTTACCAGCCCAGACTCCTGGATCTGGTAGAAGCTGGTTGTCTGCCCTGAGGCAGGAACAACCTGGCACCAGGCCTCAGACAGGGCTGGGCCAGCCCCTCCCAGTTATGACTGCCTGAACCGCCTTCTACCTGAGGAGGGGATGGGGTCAGTGGCTGATGAGGTTGCGGAGGGCTGGACATAGATACTGGGGAGGAATAGGCCTGGCCTCCCAGCCTAGGAAGGGGGACGAGTGATAAGGAGCTACATAATAATACAGCAAAAAGTCCAGTCCCACCAAGACCCAAATCCCACAGTTTTAATGGCTCCAGCTGAGGTGGTACAAGGTCCCAGAAGCTGAGCTGGAAACACCTCCATCCCCATCCTAGCCATCCTATGCAGCAAAGGCAATTCCCATTACCCCACCCACTCTCAGGCAGTCTTTCTCCCCATCGTGGGCTCCTTGTTGAGTCAAAGTCCTTCGTGGTTCCTTCACAGGACAGGGTAAGACCCTGCTTCCCAGTTCCACCCTTCCCTTGCTTTCCTCCCTCTATTCCTCTATCCTTCCACTCTTGATCCCACAGTATCTCCCTCCCTGGCCCTAACAGAAGCTTTGATGGCCTGAGGCTGGAGAAACTATAGCAAAAGTGATAGTAGGATGAATAGAACAGGGCATTCCAGTCAATGCAGGCTCTACAACTAAAAGCAGAAAGCTAGACCAAAGGTGCTGCATCTACCTCTGAGCCTGGGCCATGGATTCAGGGTACAGGAGTCAGTGGATTTGGCAAAGGAATATTTCCCCTGAGTTTCCAGAGACAGGATGACCCAGACAAGGAAGAGAGAGTAACTGGAAATACACAATACGCACACATGTATGCACATGCAAACAGAGGGTCATAGCTTAGGGCACAACACAGCCAATAACACAGATAGACCTTGGAGCTCCATGGATACAAGTGCATACAAACACAGGTACACAAAGTCTTACCCAGGATCATATACACCCTCTCCAGGAAAGTCTTGCCTCTCAGGCCAGGCCTAGCCTGTCATCCATACTTCCAGGAGGGGAGACAGGTGGAGGAACAGGAAGAGATAGGTGCTCCACCCAGAGCCTCTCCCTTTAAGAGGGTTTGGCTCACAGTCTCTCTCTGAGATCTCCCTGTCCCATCAGGGGGGCCATGCCTGGGTTGCAGAGAGGGCTTCAGAAGAGTCACTTTCATGAAACTCTGGCACAGAACCTGGGCACAGGAAAAAGAATGAGCAGTGGGGCTGGGAACTGTGATAGGAGTCCATGAACTCTCAGGACAGAGATGGCTGGGATGATGCCCTGGCAAGGTCTGAGGCTCAGCCAGAGCTGGAATTCCCCCAGGGTTGCACCTATTCTCCTCAGCATAGGGCCTAGCACCCAAGTGCTGGCACTAACTCCTAGTGGCTGGCAGAACCTTGGCATGCATGCTAGGCACAGGGTGCCAGAGACAGGGGTGGTCGAGGCAGGGGGCAGGCCACACACAAACAAGGACCTTCACACACAAACAGGGAAATGCACCCACACACCATTTTATCACCTGGGGAGCAGGGCAGGGACCACCCTCTCCTAGAGGCTGCCTTCCCTGATTCCTCAGGTGTTCCTATCAGCCTGTTTCTTGGTGGCGAAGCGGGAGGCAAGGGTGAAGGGAAGCCTAAAGGCTTCCTCTGAACCCCTCACAGATCCTCACGCACATTTCTGTGGCAGGAGGTGGAGTTGTGCGTTTCCAGTGCCCTACATGGAGAGAAAAAGCATGGAGGACCAGAGACTTCCAAACCCCTGGCAAGGTTACCTTGCTTACCCCAGGCCGGATCTCAGAAAGATTTTGTGCCCGCAAGCTGCTCAGGATTGCCCAAGGACCCAAGGCTGTGCACCACATGCGGGTGCCGGTGTGGCCAGTGGCGCAAGAGTGAGGGCGAACTGGTTGCCCAAGGACCCAAGGCCGTGCACCACATGCGGGCGCCGGTGTGACCGGTGGCGCAAGCCTGAGGGAGGGCTGGCTCCCCAAGGTGTTCCCCAAGGCCGGGCGGCCAAGGCGGTATTATCAGTACGAGGTGCTGAATGAAGTTGTGGGTGTCCTCAGGTGTCCCAAGCCAAGTGTGAGCAGGATGTATTGTTCACCTGGGCGCGGCAGCTCAGGGCCCTGGGCACGTGGGTGGGGGTTCAGGGGTGAAGCGGATGCAGGGCACTCGGGCTGGGCCAACCAGCCCAGTCCTCAGCGCAGCCCGCGGCGCACGGCTCCTCCACTGGCAACAACAACCCTGGACTTTGTTCCGACTTCTTCGAAAGCGGATCTGGCAGAGGGGGCGGGGGGGGGGCACCTGCCGGGCTCGGGGTGCCCGAGAAGTGTAAAAGCCCCACCCCTCCCCGCCTCCGCCCCGCCTTCGCCCCGCCCCTGGGGCTCTTTATAAGCTTGGTCCGCGGGCCAGCAGAGAAAGCGAGTGTCCCTCCCACCCCAGTCTGGGGTTCCTCAGCACCCTGCGCCCCAGGACGAGTCCC